GGTTGCCTCAATGGCAGTGAGCTTGTTTTGGCTTTATGGCCAAAGTGTAACTATTCTTTTCTTCTCAAAGCTGGATAAGCTCCAATAATAGGTAAAAGGGCACTGATAATCACCAAGACCATATCTACAATGAGCTGGGTTCTTACATTGTCATCTCCTTACGAACACTCAACAAATATTATCAATTATATATACTATTGTTACTATTGTTGTTACTGAAGTGAAGAGACTTTATCTCTTTGCTTTAGATTTTTGTAAAATAATCTTATCATATACATATTTTTATTAAAAGACCATTTTATTGGTGACTCTTTAAACTCTTATAACAATCCATACATCAATTGTATCAAGCATTTTTGTACTTATGTTGTCATCATTCTTTTCTAGACATTTACTTTCTATTGAGCTTTTGTATCAGTTCCTCTTTTTTAACCCCCACCCTCCACCCACCCTCATGACCCCTTGACAAATTATTATTATTTTCATATCTTACACTGACAGCTGTCTCGATGTTTGTGCTCCTGGAGGGGTGCTTTGTTAGTCTGGGTACTTCAGGGAAATAAATCCACAGAAACTCATGTATAAGAGAGAGTTTTATATATAGGTTAAGTGTGCATCAAGAAAGCATCCCAACCCAGTGCTGCCCAAACCCACAAGTCCAACATTAACCCATTAACCCACAAGTTCAACACCAGTCCACAAAATCCTCTTCCATCTCACAAAGCAGACACAACGATGCTGACTGCATGAGGAAAACCAAGTCAGTGAATGTGTAAGCATCTCAGCGCTGGCCGGGGTCTCCACACGGCTGCTCCAGCCCCCAGAGCTGCATAGGGGTAGGTCCATGTGGCTTCTCCTTGAGGATGTCTTGCAGGAAGTCAGCCTTGCAAGCTGAAGCAGGGAACTGCTAAGGCAGCTGCACCCTGGTGTGACCCTCACAAAGCAAGAGACCAGATAACTAGAAAGGCGAGGCTTACTGAAGCATTTATCCCTTTGCCCTTCAATTAATCCCCCATGGGTTTATCGGCCAGGTTGGCACAATAAACTAAGTAACTCAGGTGGGGAAGGGGCATACTTATGTGTCGATCACTGTGATCAGTTCCCCCTTCCTGCCTTCCTCTCCTTTCCCCACCTTCCACTTACCCTTCTGGTATCACTATTCCCATTCCTGTTTCTAGATTCACTGTGTCATGAGTCTTGTCTCATATCTGTACCTGTGCACATGCTCTGGTCTAACCCACAGTGAAAGACAGGACTGAAGTCATGATAGTGGGGGGTGAGGAAGCCTCAAGGAACCAGAAGAATATTGTATGTTTCATCAGTGCTTTACTGCGCCCTGGTTGACTCCATCCCTTTTCTGTGAACCCTTTGCGCGAGGATGTCCCATTGTCTACAGATGGGTTTTGGATCTCTCTTATGACTCCCCTCATTCTCAACAATATGGTTTGTTTGTTATATATTTTTAAAGTTGGTTGCCTGGACTAGCTTTTAGCGGGACATTGTTACCACTTAGATTATTTTTACCATTACAATGTAAACTTGAATCAGTTGGATATTTTCAAAGACTGAATACAAACTTCTAGTCCCTTCTTAATGTAGATTTCTTGGCAAAATATAGTCTTTAAAACCTAGGGACAGAGAACAACAAATGGTTCAAAACCAACGGTAGGGAGAGGATGGGAGGAATGGGAGGGAGTGACCAAGGTCAAGAAAACCGCGAGGAACTACTGTACCCAGAATGAAGGCTGAACATGGTATTGGGATAGGAGGAAGCTGCAAAGAAATAGAGGAA